CTGGGTCCTGTGATAAACACTTAGCACTAACTACTCTGACTTCTCAGGTCCTAATGGAACTGGTTTAGTTCTCTCTTGCTACCTTAAAAAAAGTCACAGAAATGTAGCAACTTAAAGCATATTTATAAGCCCATAGCTTTTGTGACTCAGATATGGGAAGTATAACTTTCAATGACTCCAGTTCTCCAGGGGCACTTAGAGTGCTGCCTGAGCCTTCTCCAGAAGCAGTTGTGAAAGGAAATTAGTCGTCACTCCATACACTTGTGGACAGAATACACTTCTACATGGCTGATGAACTAAGGGACATTAGTGAAGGGTCTGTCAACGGCTGTTGATTAAGAAGGTGTTCTTAGTTCTTGCTAATACGGCAACCTCATGCTTCAGAGGTAATAATCTACTAGGAGGATGGACAATTCCCTTCTTTTTAACCTTATCATAGAAACAGGTATCATCTCTGCCTTATTCTTCTCTCTAGAGTCATATCACTAGGTCCAGCTCACACTCAAATGGAGGGGATTACTTCCATAAGAGTCATCAGTGACCGTCATAGCAACCTGAAAACCATTGCAGCAGGAGGAAGACTAGACTGCAAAGGTAGTTCCGAGCATAGAAGACAGAAGTAGTTCAAGGTTAGAATTGAAGCTACTGTATGTAGGGGTCAGTGGGTAGAAGGAGGAAGTGCCTGCTATTGTGTTTGGCCTGTGGTGTCTTCCTGTCTCTCCTAGTCCTAACTCAAAGGTGGAGCTAAGGAAATGGTGGGTACATGTTAAGAGAAGCTTTTTCTTTGCTAGCCGCTTTGGTTTATCCCCCGCCAGTCACCTGGGCTCTGCCGCGCCAGCCTGGTTCTAGATCTGCATGAGTCCCAAATAAACACACAGGAGGCTATATTAATTATGAAGCTGTTGGCCTTGCTTGTCCCTTACTGGCTAGCTCTGCCTTAAGTAATTACCCCATAATTGTTAATCTAAGTATGTTTCTTACCGGAGAATAGTTCCCGGCTTCTTACCCCTATGGCGTCACATGTCGACTCTCTTGTCTTTCTCCTTCCCAGAGTTCTCCTGGACTCCTAGTCCCTCCTATCTAGGTTTCCTATAGGCTCAACAGTACTTTATTGACAAATGCACAGGACTTCCCCCAACATCTCCTCTTTTCTGTTTAAACAAAAAGAAAGGTCTTAACTTTGACATAGTCAAATCATATATAACAGAACAGTTATCAAGTAAGAATACAGTTGTAATATTTTGTCTATCAACATTTAGCAAGATTTAAAGAAAATATCATCCATCCCATCCTTGTGAGTACAAAGTCCTATATGTAGCTTTTCTTTTATCATAACTAAGGAAAACTATAATTATAACTATCTGTCTTCAACTCCATCAAAGACCACAGAAGGATAATATATAATCACTAGGATTGACAGAGACATCTTACTGCCTGGACAGTCACCTGAAGTTCCTCTGTATTGTCGGGGCATCCATCTTCAGCCCATAGGCCACAATGTGTCTGGAACACTTCTCAGCAAAGCAGGAAATTTCAAACTGTCCATCTGCATTGGCAGTCTGTCAGTCATTTTTCTTTGTCCTGCAGAACGTCTCCTAGACTCTTCCATGAAGCAGGAACCCTGTAAGACTGAGTTCAGTAGTCACTTTCCTGTGGGTCCTGCTTATCCAGCTTATACAACAACAGTCAAGAAGTACAGGCAAGAGCAGTTCTTGCCCAAATGGCTAATCTTGCCATGTTGAAAGCAAACTTTATAACGAGTTTCTTCGATGCCCATCTTCCTCTCAGACGTAATTGGTGCTGCCAGGAGCAGACATTTCTCATTGTCAAGACAAACCCTAAACCATTTTAAATGCCATGTTCTGAAGGTCTTTGAGAGGTTTGAAGACTGTCCATCTCAAATATATTTCTGTATATCTAGAAAACCTAACTTACCTAACTATAAGTTCTGACTATTATAAGTAACTATCTATAATCTGTATTCAATTATGCATTACATTTTAAAAGATCAGTATAAGCACAATACTTAATCAAGAGGAGAAATATAAGCATCACAAAATTGACCTTGAATTTGTATCAATAAATGAAAAACAATACCCATACCATAATTCCCTTTTTTACCATTAAAAAAGATTGGCTGTGATCACTAGCCAATTATAAACAATCCCATTTAAATGAAAACAAAGTTTTATAAACAAGATGGGAATTGGGACGTCGCTCAGTCCAAACTGCTTCCTGCTGGAAGGGGGCGCTGTTTATACCATGGGGATCATGACAAAACTCAGAAACCTGTATAAGTCCGTATTTTCGGGGTCTGTAAAGCTCCATCATCTTAACTGTCTCAGTCGTTGGAACACCTGGTCCACTGCTTCCGGGGGTCTTGGTTCGTGAAACCACAGAAGCCTGGAAGGAATTCTCAGCTTTTCATTTTCTGTAGAAACATAAGCAAAAACTCCTTTTCCGAGTAACATATCCTTATACTTAAATTTTGAAGTCAAGTCATTTTCAAAAGATAGAAGTTGGATTAATTTAGCAGCATTTATAATCAAGTGTACTTTAGCAGCTGTTCCTTCCTGAGCAATTAAAAAATTGAAAAACACAATAGCGTACAGTATCCAGACTCTCTGTGTATTTTCCATCTTTACGTGGCTTATTTATTTATTATTACTTTATTTCTTTCACTTTTATTTCTTTTTCTCTGAGACAGGGTGTCTCTTTGGAAATCCGCCTGCCTCTGCCTCTGGAGCAATTCCTACCAGCGTGCGCCACCACAACGCCAGCTTTTGTATTTATTTACCACTTTGCCGTTTCATTTTCTCTCTCAATCTCACGTATATTTTTAAACACACTGTAAACCTTTAAAGGTTTTGTTCATCCAAGTCTGACTTTACTGTAAATCTTTATGTTTTTCTGGCCACGTGTCTTATCTGTTAAAACCGCGGCAGTTTAAACTGCCTCTTTTTTTTTTTTTCCAAGATGGCGGGCGTAAGCATGATTCCAGCTTACCGCCTCAGTCCATGCTGACCTCCAGCAAAAGCTGCCACTTCCAGCTGTACGTACACACCTTTCAATCGTTAGCAGAGTCTCTTAAAACAATCTTGCTGTTTTTTTTTTTTTTTTATGCCGAGTCAGGAAGACTCCCGTAAGCGAGCCACGTGAATCTCAGCTTGTCGTTAGCAAAACAGAGCACACCTGAGAAAAATGCTGCTACCAAAAATCTGTGCTTCTCTCCGTTCTTCTGTTTCTAAAATTCCTTTAAAGCTTTTGTCATTCTGCGTGGAAATTCAATCCCACTCCTGATCATCATTATGTTAAGGGAAGCTTTTTCTTTTGCTAGCCGCTTTGGTTTATCCCCCGCCAGTCACCTGGGCTCTGCCGCGCCAGCCTGGTTCTAGATCTGCATGAGTCCCAAATAAACACACAGGAGGCTATATTAATTATGAAGCTGTTGGCCTTGCTTGTCCCTTACTGGCTAGCTCTGCCTTAAGTAATTACCCCATAATTGTTAATCTAAGTATGTTTCTTACCGGAGAATAGTTCCCGGCTTCCTACCCCCATGGCGTCACATGTCGACTCTCCTGTCTTTCTCCTTCCCAGAGTTCTCCTGGACTCCTAGTCCCTCCTATCTAGGTTTCCTATAGGCTCAACAGTACTTTATTGACAAATGCACAGGACTTCCCCCAACAGGTACAAGGCTACAGGATACAAGTAGAAATATTATGACACTGCACAAATAAACACTTTCCCATTGGAAAAGCAAATGACAAGCCACGGCAATGGAGAAGTTTAGAAAGCATTTAGGCAAAAATGACTCAGGAGCCCTTGTGTGAAGAAGTCTTTTGGCATGGATGTGCCAATGTATCCAATAGAAAAGGTAGGAAGTAGGGCAAGAAGCAGATCTAGAATAAGATGTTTGCAACCATCGTCTGTCAAGAAGAAGGAAAACAGACTTCAGGCACAGTACATATGGCAGCTTGGGAAATGTTTCTAAGGCAATGTTGCACAGAGCAAAGGTGTAGGGGAGAGGGTGAGGAATGTCGTTTGGCGGCATCCACTAAGATACATTTTAGTTGCCATATCTTAGGGCGAAGGTTTCAGATTTTTCTGAGCCTATAATCTGCTAGTGTGCTGTGTGAAGCTGTGTGGGGGGCAGAGAGTGGTAATATAATAGGAGGCATTTCTGACTGTTCTGTGGTAGCTACAACGTGCTGTAGGGAATGCTCTTAGGTCCAAAGCCTGCGGATCTGTGTTGAGAGCAGGAAGAGACTTGGGTGAGCCATTCATAATAAACCAGAAATGGTGGCCTGAGCTAAAGTAATATAGAATAAATACTAGTAAGCACCCGTTATCCAGAGGTGATCATCATCTGGCAACATCTGCACCCTGACAGTGGGAAGGGTTCCAAAGCTGAGTTCAAACAACAATTATCACACCATCCCCTTTTACAGCCATCCCCAAGTGCCCCCATAATTCCTTCTCAGTATGTTCCTTCTCCCAGAATTCTCTCCTATCAGCAGACAGGTCACTCCCTGGCTTGTTCAGGGGTGGGGAAGGGGAGTTACCAGTACCAGAGTATTGGGACAATGAAGGTGAGAGTCACTTAGGTAGACAAGACAAAGATACCAAGAGTCTCAGAGAAATGTCTTCTTAGTATAGAAAGAGAAAATGAAATCAGGAAAGGATTTCTTGCCAAACAACAAAAGCAATAGCTTATGGAGAGATATAAACTTCTGTAGCTTTTAGTGAAGAATGCCCTACAGTGAGGGGTGAGAGACCAGTGCCATCATAGCCAAAAGGTTTAGGGCCTCTCCTGTAGCACCTGGGAGCAGCTGAGGTCCTACCCACTCACCAGGAAAACACTGGCTACGTGCAACCTTCCCTTCCTGGAGGACACAGTGTTATGTTTCTAGGTTCCCCCTGGAGGATATTACAGTAACTTTCAGTGGTTAATGAATAGCTTCCCGGTGCCTGCTTCACTTAATTGTTCAAAGGCCATTTGTTCGTGTGTGTATAAGGCTGCAACCTGGCTAATGAGTGTGTTTCCCTGAGCAGGCCTGGAAACAGAAGAGTGGCAAGGTCAGACGGGCTCCAGACAAGCAGGGATGCAGAACAGGACTGGTCTAATTCTCTGTGCCCTCTCTCTCTTCACTGGCTTCCTGATGATCTGCTTGGGGGCCTTCTTCATCTCCAACTCCATATTCTACTCTCCAAGGAACCTGGTCATGGCCTATGTACTTCTGCCTATGGGGTTTGTGATCCTTCTGAGTGGAATTTTCTGGGCCACTTACCGCCAAGCAAATGAAAACAAAGAGATGTTCAACCATGTGCTCAGACAGCACCTTGCTTCTCAGGACCTGTCCCTGGCCACAATAGACAGGTATGTGCTGAGTGCCAGAGGGCATGAGAAGGGCTGAGATGAGCCACAGTGTGGGATGTGGAGAGATGTATAATTCCACAGCAGATCCACTTACATGAGGCTTTGCATCTAGGCCTGAAGTTCATTGGGTAATTTGCTCTGGGGTCATAGTGTGGAGGAGCAAGGCTGTTATTGGGGGAAAACAACGAGGCAAGGGGGACTTTTCTTAGGCTAAGATCCATACACCCCTAGTAAAAACTCACCTACAGCAAATTAAGGGGCACAACTCCTAGGTTCTTCTTCTGAATTGGGGATGATTTTAGTAAATGTTAGGTGATGGCTAGGTGGTTTCTACAACATGGTTACTGAGTTATAAAGAAAGACCCAGACCAAACTCTGCCCACAATAAATGAGCAAGCAGACATTGAGTCAGTCAGCAACTTCTGTGACTAAGGGAAGTTCTAGATAACTGTCCTTTTGGGTGCTCTGGTCTCACCTTGTATGAAGCATGCATCCAAGGCAAGAAGATAATGTGTCCATCAATGATGGGAAAACAAATAGCAGCATGTACACATACGCATTGCAATATTATTTGGCTTTAAGAGAAAACAAAATAATGGATAGACGACATAGGTGGCTACACAGTGAAAACATTATGTCAAGTGACACCCAATGGTCAGAAAGGGCAACTACTGTACCATTCCATTTACACCAAGTAGCTACCGCAGACAGGAAATAGAACAGTGGTTCCCAGACCTGGAGCATGGTGTGGAGGGGGGGGCAAAAAGAGTTATTATTTAATGAATATGGGATTGGAATTTGGAGTGACATAAAAGTTCAAGAGATGGTTTGCAGCAATATAGGATCACTAAATACCACTAATGCCCTTACAAGTAATATATGTTTACACACACACACACACACACACACACACACACACATTCAAAACAAAAAGCCAAGGATTCAGGTAACCTTGTGGTCAATTAATTTAGCATTAATCTTCTGGTTCCTAACACAAGAATATCATTCTTAAGGTATAAGGTGTAAGAATCCATAATCCTAAGTCCTTTTGGGCTCTTCATGCAAGTGCAGGAAATCCATAAATGTCTTAGTTATCCCATGCACATTGAATCAGAGTCCTCTCACCCGTGACTATGCATTGCTGACATCCATCACACCAGTGACAACAACCACAGTCCATTTCCAAGGCTAATAAGACTAACCAGGAAGAAGTTCTTTGGGTTTGAGCAAAAATTAAGATATCAGGAATGATTTAGAAAGTACTTCTAGACCAATTGTGTGTGGGGAGGGTTGTGTGTGTTTGTGTTTGTGTGTGTGTGTATTTACCTCTACAGTGTGAATTCCTGCTATTAGTAATGAGTGCCTTTAGAATGCATCTAAAATTTACCAACACATTCATATATAGTAATTTGTCTTGAGTATTAAAAAGTAAATAATGACTATCTTGACACCCCTCTCTCACTGCTCCTTCCTGCTGCATCCTGAGATGCTCAGCCCACAGAGTCAAGTGGGAAAACTCCATATCTCAAAAGCTTTACACTCAACATGGGCACCAAGGCAGAGATATCCAAGCAAATACTCCTCTGGGGATGGAATTCATGGCAGCAGTCTTCCTGGAGTCTCTCAAATGGTTCCATGGAAGCGCTCACCTTTCTAGCCCCATGACTCAGCCTTAGCTATTCCTGAGAAAGGTCGAGCATTACATCGTACAGTAGACAGCTCCTTCAGCTATTTGGCCCTAGACTTTGTGACATTTGGAGTAGAGCAGTGGCTACAAATGGCAGACCCTGTTCTGTTGTGGTTACTCACCACAAACACTCCCTTTGGCACTGGATAGTTTGCCTCTATAAATACACAACTCATGCAAGCTCACCCTGGCTCTCTTCCACTTACCCCACCCTCAACTTCATTAATGGTGGAGGAGCCAGAGGAATTTAGTAATTACTTAGACTGGCAAGATGATGAACAAGTCCATCATCTGGACCAACTGATCTTGACCATGGGCAGGCCAGCACCTATGCTGCCATTGAATGCCTCACAAAACTACCAGCCGATGCCTTTTGAGACCTGAGCGTGTTTCCTATGTTTTCTCTGAAACCAGCTGTCCAGGACTTGACAATGTGTCAGGAGAGAGTGCGGCATCTCTCAGGTCAGGGACCTGCATGTAATAGGCTTCCATTCATTATTCTGGTGCTTGTGAAGGTCTCAGGCCTTGGGAGCAATGGAGTGGAAGAGGATGTGTGAGTGGTAACAACGATTGAGTACTGGCTAAAGAGAGGTTTAGGGTCAAAGTCTCTGTGTCACCCAGGGCTGATAAGGATAGTGCCCTGAATGGCTGTTTCCTGCGCTGAAAGAGCAAACAAGGAGGAGTAGCTTGGAATACCTGTCCGGAACAGGCGGGCTGCCATGACTGGAAAGGAACTGATTCTACAGGAAGGGTGTGCAGTTTTTAGAAACTGGTGATGTCAGAAAAGTACATCTGTTTCAAACTCAGTGTTTCTTAGCAGTTTAGCTTCACACGATGTGAGACGAGAGAGGCAGACATATGCTCCTTCACCACCGAGACCTAAATAACACATGCATATTTGTGGTATTTCGTCTTGCAGACCCAACTTTTACCCTCCGGCTTACGAAGAAAGCCTGGATGCTGAGAAGCAGGCCTATCCTGCAGGCAGAGGGCTCCTGGAATTTCCTCCTCCTCCATACACAGCGACAAGCCTTGAACTTGAAGATGAAAATGAGCCACAACCAGAGGCCCCACCGCCCTACCAGGAGAGCATGGCAGGTGCAGTGGCTACAGAGAAGGCCTGGGATGCTGTGGACCAGGCACAGTGCTGAAGGCAGGGCCAGCTCTCCAGCACTCAGGACTCCCCAGCTGCTGAGGAGACGGCTGGCCAGGGACCAGGAAGCTGCTCTGTCGCCCTGCACTGGAGCAGGGCCACCATGGGTTCAAGAGACTAGTGTTTCCAGGACAGCTTGGGGTCCTTGAAGGACATAGCCATCAGAAGGAAGTTGGTGTAGAGAATTCCCACAAAGCCCAACCCAGGCAAACCTTAGACGGGAGAGAAGGCATATGGACTGGCCTTCCAACCCCCTCCTAACCCCATGACCTCAACTCAAGCCTGGAGGTGCATTTGCTGTTGGTGGGGACTGCCACAGCCCTTCACATACTGTGTCCAAAGAATCTCAAAGGGAAGACTGTGTGGGAAGTCTTAGAGTCACCCTACTGACCGTGCTACCTGAGGGACGCCATAGCTCAGACATATCATGGGAGGGGCACTAGGAACCGAGGAACGTTATTTTGTATCATTTTATTTTAATTATGTATGGGTTTTTTTCTACGTGAAAGGGAAGAGGCTGCAATATTTGCTTTCCAATGGTTCAAACACAAAATGTTGAGTGACCTCTTAAAGAGGGTCTCATGAAGGCACAGAGGGGTTCTTCAAGATTAAAGTTGAGTAGACAGAATACTAAATTCATGACCAGATAATCAAGGGTGATGCTGATATATAACTTCTTACAAATCCTGTGAAGTTTAAAAATATATGTAGCTTTCCAAGATGTAACCCCCCCCTCAGATTCAGAATGTAAGAGATAAAAAAACTGTTTCTATCACCAGGAGGTAGGGGTGTGTGTGTGTGTGTGTGTGTGTGTGTGTGTGTGTGTGTGTGTGTGTGTGTATAGAGAACTAAACTTTTGGACTTAAAAACCCCAATGGTCCCTCCTGGGTTTTATCTTCTTTGCGAGAGTTTTTAAGGTCAGAGAACAGGTTAGGAAGAAGGATGGTGGCGGGACAGGTGGGCTGAGACTTTTGAATGTGGATGAGGATGTCTATATCCTGGCCTCAAGTTCCTTCTCTACCAAGTGAAGCATCAGTGTTCAGGTTGATATCTAACAGTCATGGCATGCCTCACACGTGATGGGTAAGCTAGCCTTCCCATCCATGTTATTTAGGCCCCATCCTCTCTTTGAGAGGCGGGTGCTGTGGCCATTCCTGTTTTATGGATGTGTCAACTGGGGCTTTGAGGATTCAGGAAATGTATTCAGTGAGACAGTGGCCTCAAGGAAGGTGAAAAACCTGCAGGAACGTGAGGAGAGTGACTCACCTCACACTTTTGAGTTAGGCTGGCTATGTCTTTCCTCTGTCCAGGACACATCTTAGATTTCTTACTCCATGTCAAAATGACCCCCAACAGAAAGCAACGTTCCCAGTCACTACTCTATTGTCCATCCTTGAAGAAGCAGCTGAGGTGACTTTAGGATTATTGGGCTTCTCGGTTAAAATATGCCAGCCTGTTTCCTGCCTGTGAAATGGACCCTCACAGTGCAGTTTTCCTGCATCCTATGGAGGATAGCCATGATGCTGGGTACAGAAGAGTCTTTAAATACACAGGGGAAGGATGACATCTTTCAAGAAGAGAGCCATCAAGGTGGAACTGGGTATCCATGGTCTCTGCTTCTCCACTGGTGTGGAATGCACAGACTGTGAGTGTCCGATAGAACAAAAGATGCCAAATGAACAAACCCCTAGTCCATGAAGCACACCTTTATGAATCTCTGCTTTGAGTCCTTGGCAATGAGCGAATGACTAGATAGGAAGGCCACTAATGACTGTTAGCAGGAAGGTGACCATTTATTAACAATGCAATTCATCATTCCTTTCTTGTCATCTCTTTTCATCATTCCCCTACCGAGCATTTTTTCCTACTCGTCTGAATGACCAGCATTATTGAACTTCTACCCAGATTTGCACACAGAATAGATGGTTTGTCAACCACTCAGATGAGCCAATTTCGTTTGCATACATTGTGTTAATCTCCTTAAGGAAATAAATTTTACATTCAGAGTCTTTTTGAAGTTTATTTTGTGGGTGTGTGCTGCACATGCCTGAATGTGCACACAAGTGCATTGCATACTCATGCATGGGGTAGTCTGGGGCTGTTGTTTCAAGTAGGATGGCCTGCACGTGAATTTCCAGGAGTCTCTCTGGGGTTCCTGGTATGAGTGATGATTTAAGCTAGTTCCTCATGCTTTCACAGAAAGCATGCTAACCCTAGTCACCTCTCTTTTACCTCAGACTTTCCTTCCTTCCTTCCTTCTTTCTTTTTTGTCACTTTTTTATCAGAAAAAAGCAGTATAGGACCCTAAGTAATGGTAGCATTCTCCACAGTATTAAGATGAGTTTATATTCCTGCAAACCCAAACATGATTGACACCAGCTGTTGCTTCAGAAAACAACCTGGTGCCTCCTTTTCAAAAAAGAATACTAAAGTTGGGCATGGTTGCACATACTTATAACCCAAGCACTTGTGAGGTAGAAGCTGGAAAATCAGGAGTTCAAAGTCAGCTTTGTAAGGGACGGAGGGAAGGAGGAAAGGGAAGGAGAGAGCAAAAAGAAAAAGAATAAAAAACAAATCAGCACTAAAACATACTCCTTGACATGTTTCTAAGACACATGTACTCTGATTACGGAGTCTAGAACCTGGACATCATGCAAAACAATCTTTAATTTTTGAGTCTCAACAACTAAAATCCATTGGGTAAGTCAAACGAATGTGTCCTGTTGTAGTGAATGATACTTTATTATTCCCTACAGGATGCACTCTGGGAAAGTAGCACTGGCACCCCCTTCTTTCTCAGGGTGTGATCAAATGAAATGATGCTGGGTTAGGAGCGGTGGTCTCATGGATACTGAGGAGGGCTTTTGGATATGAGACAATGGAGAGAGGATCCCATGGCGGAGGATCCTTACTCATTCATCCTCATCCCTAGTGTGAATTATCGTGCCCCCAGGCCCCCAGTTTATAGCTTCATGTTGTTCCTTTGATTAACAAGTTTAAATAATTACTGCCAGCCCCTAGAAGATCATGATGACAAGGTCAGTATGCAGTACATGATGCTGAGTCTTTGCATATCTGAGATGTATTGGCTCTGTCTTGACCCCCACGCACAAAACTCAGAGGTGTTTTTTTTTTACTGACACATCTGTTTGTCTCTCGAGATTTTGCTTCAGTGTATTATTTTCTGTGAAGCATCATTCAAGCTCGTCTACACGGCATATCACATGCTAGGTGCTGAAAGAAATGGAAAGAGGAGAGAATCATGGATTTGTTACTACACTTTGTTCTCTGAAGTTCCGTGACAACCCTGCTGACTCACACAATAGTGAGCTGTCGATTGCGTGGGCTATGTCTGCTGGGAAAGCCTCCAGCCCGTTGAAGTTGAGCAGGCATTCTGCTAAGCTCTGCTGCCTCAGATAATCTCCTGCTGTTTGGAACTGTTGATGACCCAAACACTGATTTACTAGCCTTGGGCATGGAGTCATCTTACTGTCATTATCAGGTCCCACAAATGCTTTCTCATCCTCTACATCAGCCGTAGCTCATGGATCTGGCCACCAAAAACTCAAGTCATAAAACTATATCATTCTTGCCAAGATTTAGTGTGGTCAAATCTAGTGCAGGGATGGCTGTCAATCTAAGGCTTCTTAGACGTAAGCATTCATGACCTGCAGATATGATGGCTGCATTTTGCAACTTGGAACAGTAAGATCTGATAAATGTCTCTTTAAACAGGGCTGCCCTTCTGTGTGTATAGGCATGTGTGTGCACATACATGTGGAGGCCAGAGGTCAATGTCAGGTGCTCTCCACCTTAGCTCTTGAGACATTTTACCACCTGAACCACCTTCCTAGCCCCCTCCCATTTTTTTAAAGGGCAATGAAGAAGTTCAAGAATCCTGGGTGAAACAAAGCAATGTTTTGTTTTGGGGAAATGGCTGATACCTGGCAGGCAGGGTATTTAACACCCAGGTTCCTATAAATGCCTCACTGGCACACATGCGCACACGTTTCCAAATCCCCTCAATGAATGGGGCACTGCTTTGGTTAAGAATCACTACATATGTGTGGTGGCTTGCCCTTTCCAGAGGCCTATGTTGCAGTGAGGGAATCCCTGAGTGCTAGAAGATCGCCAGACTGGCCCTAATAGTTACCTCACTATAAAATTGCTTCTTCTGCGAGTCACTACACTGGTTCCCACATGTGTGTCTCATGTCACTTACTCTTAACTGAAAAAAAATTGTCTGTGTGGAGGGAGGGGTGCACATGCCAGGACAAATGTGAAGGTCAGAGGACAACTGTGTGGAATTGAGTCTTCCTTCCTTTCTGTGGATCCTGGACTCAAGCCACTCAGTCGGCTTGCTCAGTAAGCACCATTACCTACCCACCAACCACCTGACTGATCCCAGTGCTCTTAAAGGCTGGTTGCTGACCCTCCCACTTTAACAATAAGAGGTACATCATAGAGGGAAGTGTGGTTTGCTGGCTTTCGTGCCTCTTCAGAGTAACACACACATTCACACATGCAATCTTGGGTTAAGGCAGAAATAATACCTCAGCAGTGTAAACTTGAGAGAACTCAGAGACAGGCCTTGTCCTAGAATTGCCGAGAGACCTGCTCTTTGTTAACCCAGCTGAGAGAAAATGATGGCCATGAGGATTGGTTCCACTTGATATCATATCCTATGTCTGCCTGAATGCCACCCATCATACCACCTCTGGCTCCCAAAGTCAACTTCTTGTAAGTCCCAGCTAACAATGACTGTTCTGTCTTGCTGGCTCTACTCACCTCTGGTAAAATATACAAACACTAATGGTTCCCAAGACACCCTATTCTTTAGGAAGAACCTCCTGTTGTCAGTGACCCACCATTTTGGGGCCAGTTACTCTTGGTGTGTTCTCGTAGCTCATGCTTGCACCTCTATTGTAATATTTATGCCTCCCCAATCACTTGTGTTTGTTCCCACCAACTCTTTCCAAATTCTAAGTTGGTAAGAGCAGTGATAACTCCACCCACCTTCCTGTTAACATTTAAAAGAGAAATGTGCCTGGAGTAGCTGCTCAACCAGTCTTTGCTGAATGGATGAATGAGTGAATTACTGAATGAATTGATGGCTGACTATAAATTGGGCTACATCACATGCATAAAAACGGGAAACAGAGCTGGGCATTGGTGGCACGTGCCTTTCATCTCAGCACTTGGGAGGCAGAGGCAGGCGGATCTCTGTGAGTTTGAGACCAGCCTGGTCTACAAGAGCTAGTTCCAGGACAGCCTCCAAAGCCACAGAGAAACCCTGTCTCCAAAAAAAGGGGGGGGGGGGGCAATGTTTACGCAGAATAACTTGAACTTAAAAGTTAGAAATGATTTAAGTTCAGGAACTCGAGGCAAAAATATTTGCTTGCCCTGCTCGAGCTGATTTGCCAAAGGACCTGTTAGAATGCGCTGACAGCAGGTCCACAGTGGGTGGATGAACGGATGTTATCAGGGACCTTTACTCCTGAGATAGTGAGAACTAAAGCCACAAGGCCAAAGCTTTCCATTCGTGATATGGTTTTTTTTTTTATAATCTCAGCTCAAAGCCACCTTCCTCTTATTCTGAAGTAAAGACTTTTAAGGTGAAAGACTAGATGCCATTTTAATTTTTGCTAATTCCCAAAACCAATTTTGAGCAATTCATTTTTCTCCTGTCCTGTTTTTAAAACCCAACCCTCCAAGTCATTAGAACGAACCAAAGCCCTCGCCAGTGTTCTGGAAGGCCGCTTTATCAGTACAGGTGACCGAACTGGAACTGCAAAGTGGCAAGAGGCAGAAATGAGCTGAAGGCCACAACCTTGTATGGAGGTTAAAATAAAGAAGTTTTGTTTTATTGGCTACAAAATGTCCTAGCAAGTTTCTGACAGAAGCACAGAGAGAGAATGGAAACAAACACCTTTCTGGGAATGTTTCCTTGCGGCAGTGACCTTGACGGCAGCAGTCATCCTTGCTCAACAGCCAAAAGGCACTAGGTCATCCCCACAAATGACACGATAAGTGAACCTGCAGTTCCCAAGGAAGCCAAACATAAGCAAACACATCCCGTGCCGGCCCGAGGACTCTGCCCCAGTCCATGTGCCTGCTGGAGCTGCCAGGTCCCTGTTCCTCACAGGCAAAGAAAGCTAGTGTGACAACCACCTCCCTGTCTCATAGGGCCCACGACTGTTCCACTAATTATTCCAGCCCCTTCTCCTTTATTCAGCCACTGGGAACAGGATCAGGATACACAGTGCTGGGAGGAGTTATTCAAACACATGTATCTTGTGACATCAAGGAAGCATCCCCCTCATTTTCAGCATTAATTTTCAGTCTTTTCCAGAAAATCGTTCCCCACCTACACAGAAAATGACTACATTCAGAAGGATGCAGCCAGCTTGATAGCTAAATTAATACTATATGCAAAATAAGAGAGGAAAACACCCTTTTATATGTCTTGTTGGAGGTGTGCCATTGTGAGTTACAGAAGATTCTAGAAGATGTGAGAGAGGCAGTGCAGAGATAGTGGCAGGCTGGGGAAAATGGACCATTGGATGGCTAGTGGGAGAGGGGTGCATCCTGAAGTTCTAAGCCTTTCACCTTGTAGATCTGATTACAAGCGCAAAGTTGAGTCCTCCTCCATGTTGATGAGATCTTCTGCCTGCCCAAAGGCCTTAGAACTTACCTGCCGGTCTAATTCTGGGTCTCTCTCTCTCTCTCTCTCTCTCTCTCTCTCTCTCTCTCTCTCTCTCTCTCTCTCTCTCTCTCTCTCTCTCTCCCTCCCTCCCTCTCTCTCCCCGACCAGAAACCCACAGGGGCTGTGATTAATACTTTCTTAGTGCACCTGTCTATCTCCAAAGGGGAAGCTCATTGGTGTGATGAAATATAGATATCAAACAACAGACAACTAAAGACCCTGCTGCATATGAAAGAACTGAACAAATCACAACAAAAAGGGTGCTTATCCCCTTCCCGCCCTCATTTCATCCCCCCCCCAACAGCAAAATAGCTTTTGTTTTCCAAAGTCCTAAGTGGCACAAACGGGAAGCAAGAAGGCACGGTGGTGACGTGTCTCTCTGCGTGCTCTTCTGCCCTGTGCTCAGGTGATGACGGTGGGTCCCCTCCGGCCAGTTCTCTCATGAATCTGGGATATTTTCAGCGCGATGGCTATGAGAGGGCTCAGCACCGCCTGGAAAAGAAAGGACGACCATCAACTTGAAATCAACTCCAGTACGGGCTTGGGGATGGATTTCTACCTCAGAGGCATGAACTCAGATTGTCTTTTACAGCCTACAGGTAGTGGCTGGAGCGGACAGGACACAGATAAGGGACAGAAAAGTGCTCTGTGAGGTTTTACTCAAACCACAGAGAAATTAATTCATGATAGGGACAAGCATAAGCCCTACTGCTAAACAAGACTATGAATTCAGGAAGACTGGAAACTTCCATTCTTCCTCTGATACTCTAATCCCTTCCAAGTTATAACCCCAACCAAACTCCTCCCCACATTCATTGTGAGAACAAATCTCACTCCCCATCCTGAGACCACAGGTCTAAAGAAGCCACTGTTCTGACACTCCAGAGATGACCACACGAATACTAAGACCCATCTTCCTATCCTGTACCATCCTGGCTACCAAGCTTCTTCAGTATTCCCAGGGAAGTGGGGCTGGCTCAGAGAGATTTGGAACCCAGTTCAGCAAAGGAACCAAAGGCTATCACAATCAGAGCAGTGGAAGTATTAATCTAAGGGTATGTTTGGTAAAATATTACTTTAGGGGCTATGTCATATAATTAAGTTGCACAACCTTAATAATGAACAATCACAAAATAATTTTACTCCATTTAAATAATTATATTGAAATTACTTCAATACAATTTCCCAAATAAAAAGTACACATATAGAGAAGCTTTTCTAAAAACTGAATTTTAGTATTTTAGAGACAATAGAGAATGATGATTGGTTTATCTGTTGAATTAGATATGCATGAGATATTGTAAAATATTGGTGAGAAATCAAAAACTGTAAAAGAATTCTTCAGCTTGCGTCACAATCACACTTAGGTTCCTATGGCGCTAACTAAATAAGAATAAAAGCTGAACATTATACAGGATGAAACAGAACCACAATCCTAAACACTGTACTCATATTCAAAGAAAAATGTCCTGACCCAAAACGAAGTGATTGGGAAATGAGCAATAGATTGACATGTGTGATTGGAAAGACACAGTGGTCAAGTATGTATTCAGAATCAGACAATGTCTCTTGGTCTGGTCACATCAAGCATGAGGTCACCAGTGGCAATTAGGCCAGTTCACAGAAGTCAGAGCAGGGTGCACACCCCCTTTACCCTTCATGTAGCAACTGGGCAGCCCTAATGCTAAGTACTTGGAATCATGGTTCTGAAATAGTTTGGGGTATAACCCAAGTCTAAAGACAAAACTCATTTTTGTTTCTCATATATGCTTTTTTACACATAACCCCAGGTAAGTTTATACAATATTCTTAATATATCTTCATTTTGACTGTGACCATATCACATGAGTCAAGGTCCAGAATCTTCCACTTCTAACACATCAAACAGTGTCAAAATTGGGAGCACTTTAGGCCTTTAGATTTGAGGTTCCGTGTGTTACACCTATTCCTTGCTCTCCACTGGTGTAGCTAGAACACTTCTTGTTGAACCTTATTCTTCCTTTCCGACCCACTGGCAGTCATCAAACCCTCTGTCCTTATTCACATAGTAGCTCCTCACCTATATTCTCCTCCTCCCCCCAGGTTTTTCCCTAATAGGGTTTGCTAGCATCCATGGCTCACAGGTGCCAGTCAACTGCTCCCAACCTTATCACACGCAGCTTCTTTCTTTCTGGAAGGGATCGTTTGATGTACAAGTCTCAGGTGGCTTCTCAAGGTCTGTCGTCAGCCATTCTCAGTATGGCTGCTGGGTTCCTGATGTGCTGTCAATCCTTAGCTCTTTCTCCCACTCCATCCATATAATCTATCTGTATTGTAAAGTACCTAACATTAATCAAAGTAGACAAGGAAGAGGGCCCATAGATAATTCAGAATTCAGAACTCAGCTTGGAGAGAATTTATCTTCTCCAAATAGCAAAACAGGCCTCCATAAAAATTCTTCTGAGGGAAAAATTCCTCTCCAGATTGAAGTAGAGGATATACTCCCAAAGAGACTCATCAAAGCAAAACCAAGCCAGTCTCTGGGAGTTCAATGTGCCACCCACAAAGCCACACAGGCAGGTGGCATCAGCCTCCTTCTCTACTACCCTTTCCACTTTTGCCATTGATTTGGGCCTTTAGGTAAGCGGTGGCATTTATACTACAACCTAACGAAAGTGGGACAATCATGAAGACAACTGTCCTATTTATTCAAACATGAGCTCATTTGGCTCCACACATGGAAGCATTTGGAGAACATGAGGTGGAGAGTAAGTGAGTAGGCTGGCCAGCTCTGTGGGTTCCGCTAGTGACTGGAGTACAGTGGGCTTCTGCCCTTGGTAGATACAAACTAGCCTGCGAAAGTTCTCATCTTAAGCCTCATAGAAGTAGTCCTTTGCTCACAACTTCCCCTTTCCTCTCTTCTCTGCCTGTACCCACCTCATCTTCCATGCAGCCATAGCATTGCAAAGGGATGGGGAATTGTCAGCTGGTGTAGATCCCTATATGCCCTCCCAAGATCTCCACTATGTCCTCATGTTTCTATTCACTGGGCATGTCCACAACACACTTCAAAATTTTCCTCTGTGCGGAATAGACTTGCTAGTTTAATGGAAAATGGCCTCCTAACTCATGCTAAAATTCTTAGCAGAAATGGATCTAAAAGACTGAAGCCAGAACTTTAGGCAAAAGACTGTCATCTATAGAGTTTGTTACTCCGAGCCTTCTCTTTTTCCTCCCTAAGGCTGCAGAAGCTGAGATAAAGGTTACTCTGTCATTTACTGCAATCTGAGTTCCTGTGGTTACAACATTGACATGCTTCAGTTTGGTGCTCTGCTTATACATGTTCCTTAGAAATGAAGTTGAAGACCCCACAGGTCTGCTAGCAGCTTGCTACCCAGGGAACAGCCAAGAATCACCCAACAATACAGCTGTGAGTTCTAGTCAGAGAGACAGAGTATTTGTGTTCCTATGAATCCTGTAATATGTAACTCTGACAAGCTTCCAAATGACCCTCGTGTATACCCAGGTCTGGGACCCTGCTTTGCAGCATTGTGCTCCTTCTCCTAGGATGGACAGAACAGGTCAGTGGTGAAATGACTCTGAAGCCAAACCTCCCTGGATCAACTGACTCTACCTCTTATGAGCTGTGTGATCTGGGTAAGTCACTTAACCTCACTGGACATCAATTTTCATTTCACGGGCTAACAGCACCTTCCTCACAGAGGTGAGAGGCTAAGCGAGCTGGTAGGTAGGAAACAGGACAGTCCCAAGCATGCAGGGCAAATACATAAGTGATTGTTATCATTAAAAACTAGGAAAGAGACTGTAGCATGCAAGCTGGCTGTCAAATGGCTGCTTGGTGTACTCTGTGATCTTTTATTAGAAAATCAACTCACACTTACTCAAATGTCAAGTGAATGCCTCCGGTATGCACCCCAGTTCAAAGCAGCTATTTTGTTTGGTCAGGTCTTACTGCCCTTTTTTTGCTCTGGTGAGTTATCAGCCTGCCATCTGGATCTCTGACCCCAGAACTTCCAAGAGGACCATACCCTGAATTCACCATGGCTCAAGTTGGCCTCTGCAGTGATATGGTGGGTCTGTCAGTGTGGAATGTACACACACTGTGCTATTTCTGAATGAAGCTGCATAGTAAACATGCCCTTGAAAGCTCCCAGGACTGTACAACCCATGCTATGGTTTAGATATGGTTTGGGTTTGTCCCTAGGAGTCCTGTGTAGTGTCATTGAGAGATGGCAGGTCCCTCTAAAACTGTGAGCCAAAATAAAGCATGTCTCCTTATAAGAAAATTATCTGGGAAATTTCATCATAATGATGCAAAGTTGATTGTACTAATGTATGTAGTGTACTACTACATAAAGGGCACAAATAGAGTAGTTTACACAGCTACAAAATCATTGGCATTCTCACACTAAATGGTGGGTTTAGAGCTGGGGAGACACCTTAGCAGTTAAGGGCCCTGAGTTTGCAGAGAGCATGACTTTGGTTCCCAGCAACCATATGGTGGTTTACAAACATCATAACTCCAGTTCTTCTGACCTCCACAGACACTAAGCATTCAAGTGCTGCACATCTGTGTATACAGGAAAAACACTCGTACACATAAAATAAAAACCTAAGGAGGCAGGTTTTCTTTGCCAAGCCTTGACATTTAGCAAGCTTTTTCATTCCAGACATAGTTCAGAAATGATGTTATGTGACTTCTCAGCCTGGGTTCCAGGATGCCATGAAACCTCCCACCAAGCCCTTAGCAGCCGTGTCAAGAAATCTGACACATGCCTAAAGCATGAATACAAAGACTCCTCCATAACATCACCAACAGTCATTCATCATCAGTTTGTTCCTTAGATACTGACGTCATAGAGGTGGGTAGGACAAGCTAACCCAGAGCCATGTTCAAATACCTGGATCCATGGACCCACAGAATGGGTCATTGCAGTGCTGCTAAGTTGTGAGGAAGCTTGTCAAGTAATACCAGCTGATGATGGCAGCCAAGGTCATAGCGCTTTGTTTGGTGAGGAAAGAGTTAAGGGCTGACAGGTACAGGAGGCCCTACCTTAAGTGGGTGACTGCCTGTGTGGGGGTGGCGGCTGGCTTCATTTCCACCTCTAGCACAAACTAGACAAGGCATTTAATCTCTTGTGCCTTACTTTTCAAATTGGAAACTAATAATAGTTCCTACCACACAGAGTCGTAAGCACGGAACGGAATGATGTATGACAGTACTTAGCCAAGTGCCTGTCACATAGTAAACATTCAATTAATCGTAGATATTCACGCATTAGTAATATCATTATCAAATGCTCCCGGGCAAGTTTAAGTCATGATACTTTTGCAAGCATCAAGTGACTCTCAGATACAGAATGTTTGGCTGGCTCTTTTCTCTACAGACCAGTAATTAAAATCCACATCTGAAAGCCATCCCCTATCTGCCTTTGAACTGACACCAAGCCACATTTCAGAGCTGTTCTTGCAAATTAATGCTAATGAGCATG